TATATATGGTGTGCAGAATTAATGGAGGAGTTCAGCTGGTTTTCTCACTGAATGTGTGCATTTCAGCCTCAGTTTGCTACATGCTGGATTCATGTAATGTGTGTTTAAATGCATGATATGAAAAACAAAAGCATTAAAATTTATTCATAAGTATTTACGACCCCCCCCCACCCCCCTTGCACTACTTCCGTGACCCCCCAGTGATGATGCGACCTCATCTTTGACAACCACTGCAGTAGATTATTTCATAGTTACAAAAGCGGCCGAGCTTGCACGTTTTTCACTACAAACACTGAGGTTGGTACGGACACACCATTGAAAGTGAATCAATTCAAGAAACTGGGAAGGTGAATTCATGGCTGAAAAAATATTCATGATAAATCTCATTTATGATCTTAAGGGAGAGTTTAACACAAACCAGTTTAGAGCAGGGCTATTCAACTGGTGGCCCATGGGACACATCCAGCCTGCGGGTGACTTCCGTTGGGTCGGACAACAAAGATTTACTAACACTTATATTAATATAAAAATATATTTTAAATCAACTGTAGGTTTTAAATGTATGATTCAATGCAACTAAATGACAATTTAAAAATAAAAAGATAATAATATTTGTTTTTTTATACAATGCAGAGATTTTTACATCACTGTGTTCTGACTTTATTCACATTTTACACGTCTCATTTTTTTCAGAATAAGGTTGGAGCTCTTGTCAACACAGTGCATATTTTTGACAGGTCTGTTTAGTACACAACAAAATAAAATTGTACCTTTCAACCCATCGCCAAGCTCCACTTATTCACATTCAGCTCAGTGAGTCTTCGTCTTGTCCAATAGCTCCGTGTAATTCATCATTCTATTGATCAGGGCACAGATGGATCTAGCGGCCGATCTGTTCAGACCAAATCGATGAGAAGCTGCGGTTTGTTTCTTAATTTCTATCAYCATTAATTACAGCAAATCGATGGAAAGGTTCTGCGTCACCGTTTGGAAAAGAAACGGCGACGGACGAGGGGTGCATCGAGGGTTTTGTTCTCATCGTGCGCCCGCAGAGAGCGCTTAGCTTTCCTTGTCTAAAACATACAGTCTGAGGGTGTTTTCATGATAAATGGGTTTCGGTTCTTATTGTAATGATTTTCACTTCGGGGGATAAATCTGCATCTTATCTGTTTGCCTTTCTCACCATACAGCCAGAACAAAGAGCACCCCGCTCCAAAAAACCAAGCATCACTCTTATCTTTCACAAAGTGGAGATTCCACACATAACGGCTCAGAGTGTGTGAGTGTGAGTGTGTGTACAAAGGAGAAAGGGACAGGGATGTAAACGGCGAGGAAGAATGTGTGTGTATTTGTGGGAAGCAGTGAAAAGGAAACTGTCCGTCACCGACAGTGACAGGCGAGAGAGGGCGGAAGGAGTCTGTGCGGGAGTCGCAGCGTCTTCAGCCATATAATGCTGACTGACACAGTGCCTGATGGAAGTGTTACACACAGAGATGGCCTGCGACACAAACTGTCCAATCAAGAGCAGTCTGCGGCTCCCACGCGTGCAAACAAAGCAACAGCGACGCGCTCCTCAAAAATGGGTTTAAACAAAACCAAAGGAGCCTGTCCTGTTTGCTCGTCGTCTTTTTCTGCAAACAACTCAGTGAATTTCCTTCATATCTGCGRCGCTGTGCTCAGTTTGCAGCCGGAGCAAAAACAACAGCAGACATAATGGAGCATTGTTCAAATCTACGCAGTCATTCAAATACGGCACCCACTCAATCCAAATCTTGTGTGACAAAAACAGCAACAACTCTGTATCGGAAAACGAAAGTGCCCTTTTCAGCTCGTGCCTGAAGGATCGCCAACCAGGAGGTTACGGTGGTAACAGTAACAGAACGCRCAGCCATCAACAATAGATGTGATTTTATAAGAGGCCCGCATCTAGTGTTGATTATTTCTCCTGGAAAGCACTAATCACTCCTCYATTCTCAGGTATTTTTCTACAAGCCAACACTGATTGTTAGTTTGTGGTTGATAAAACAYGGTGTAGAGTGGATAAACCCATGTATACATGCACCAAGCTTTTTGTTTGGACACTTAAATAATGTAAAGACAGTTTTTTTTCTTCTATATCAATATATCTGAGTCAATATTGTTTAAAGTGCCTGTGACATGCATTTGATTTGATTTGATTTTATTTGATTTATTGATTTAACAGGAAAAGATTACTAAAAATGAAGCCTGACTCAGCATAATTGCTGTTTTACAGCAGGTTCTGGTTCTGCAGCACAAAAAACACTCAGAATTACAGCATCACAATCACATCATTATACACCATAGACGCAAAGACAAACAAGCATACCAAATTTCAAAACGGCAGCATTTGCGAAATAGGACGTCTAAATATGAGCACAACAAAAAGTGTCCAGCAGATGGCAGACAAGATTCTTCTTAAAGGGCTGTAGTTTTGAAATGGACTTTATGTTTTGAGGAATGTCATTCCGTGCTTTGGTATAAACATAGAAGAAAGACCTCTGGCCGTAACAGTTTTTAAAAGTTGGTAATATCAGTTGTCCTTTTGCAACAGATCCAGTTGAATGACCACTTCCAGAATTTGATTTGGGCAACAATGCACAGAGAGTTCCATAATTGGCACCTTGGAAGATCTGAAAATATAAATTAATACCACTATACAAAACATAATTCTGAAAAGTCAAGGCATCAGACAATGAAAGAACTGTACAGTGATGAGCATATTCTTCAAATACAAAAAGTCAAAGAAAACATCTTTATATTTAAGAAAGCTGGAATAATACACACGATTTAACACATTTTGTCCCATAACCGGCATATTTTCTTTTGAACTAGGCTCAGCAGAAGTGAAACAGGAAGTGACATCAAAGGGGAACTCTTTAACAAAGAAAACTCTGGTCTTTGTTTATTGAAACAATATTATTTGAACTCTGACTCGGCTTCATCTCTGATAGAGACTCAAAATAATCTTAAGAAACATCAGATTCTTCTCTACCGTCTGTTGTAACAACGCTCTGTTCACATGCAGACATTCCCCTTTGACATCACTTCCTGTTACTTCACAGGCAAATATCTCAACAACTGTTCAYCTCAGCGACATGAAATTTCTTTTGCAATATTTTATCAGTGTCCTCTTTCTAAAAACGCGTTCATATGTATCACAAAAATTTGACATCACAGGCACTTTAAAACAGCATTCAGCTGTCAGCATTCGAGCTGCAGCTCTTGTGTTAAAGATAAATTGGACAAAACCGCTGAGGTGCAAAACAATAGCACTTTGTAAACACTGCATGAGTTTTATTTTTGGATCTGAGCTGCCTCTTCACTTATTTTCAGAGGAATGTTTTGTTGTTTGTTAAGCCACTTATCTCCTACGAGTCATTCAGCGATAAAAAACAACAACAACAACAACATTGAAATTCAAGGGATGCACCAGGGTTTTGTAAAAGATTTACATTTTAAATTGTTAGAGTCAGATTATATATGAATAAACTGTTTTTACCTGTTCAAAGGTACCCCACATGTATTATTTTTTTTTAAAAATAAAATGAAATGAATTCAAATTTGTCACCAACTGGGCTCCGTACACATGTAAAAAACAGTAATTAGTCTTGAAAAAAGTAAACACTACTGCACTAAAGTTTGCATTTGATATTGTTACTATGTTGTAATGTGAGTCAGGACACATCTTGAACTTTTTGCCTTAAACTGTAGAATATTAAAACTTTCTGAACWTTGTTAACTCCCCCTGTGAGTCACAGAAATGGGACTGCATCAAGGACTCCGCAGCGTAGAAAGAAACATGAAATCCATACTTATGATTTCATCATAGCAAGTCTGTCTCCTCCTTGGTTACCATCTTTGTTTTATCCTTGTGGGACTTGGCAATGCAGCCGATGCCTCAGCTCCAGCTGCGCGCCATCCGGAATATTTTGCATAATGCGCTTTAACGCTGGAGGCCAAAACTCACACAAGCTGAGGGTCAAATTCAGTAGCAGGATACAATTATTTTCAGCATTGCAAAGCTTTATGGTTTTTTTTATGTCGCAGCAGGAGCAATCAGAGCGTCGAACCAGCTGTTTTAAGCTCAACAAGAATGCCATTCGCATGCACACATACACATACACAAACACACACACACACACACACAGTCACAGCTATGCAGAACCAAAACTCAGCTGCTATAGTTCATGACTAATTCAATAGCTCAACTTCACACTGAAGAGAGTGGAGTTTATACAGAATGTGCAAATGTTGCTTCAGGTTAGCACAACAGAAAAGCTATTCATTTTCATTTCAAATTGTATTTGTTTTGTTCGTTGTGTTTGGGAGAAAAAAAAAAAAAGAAAACCCCGAAAAGAACAAATTCTCACTGGAAAYGGCTGTCTTGACATTTGTTTGCGGTCTGGGTGCGTTTGTGTGTTCAGGTGTCRTGTGCTTCATTAGCCGGTGAGGAAGCTGCCACAGAAACGCCTGCTGCTAACTGGGCCGCGTGCCTGGACCCAACGTTCAGCCTGATCCATCGAATACACAGCAAACACTGCAGGGTCTACTCTTTCGGGTGAGACAAATGTTTGTTTTAATAGATTTTGGAGGGGAAAGTTGAACACGAATGACTTTAACACTCATCACTGCATCAGTGATAGCTCAGAACTTTTCAGGGGGGTTCTGTGGAATAGTTATGAACAATTAGTGTCTTACTTGTTGTGCAAAACACTTTGAATGACCTCAATTAGGAGAAACAGTTTAATCATGACCAGACTAATAATCTACAACTAAACTTAGCACAAAAAGCAAAGAAATTTGTCTTCGCTAGATTAAACACATAATCAGCTCTGCTGCTCATCCCACAAATGCATGTTCCTTACAAATGCGGCACCATTTAAAAGGGACATTAAGAAACTTTGCAACAGTACAACATTTATTTATTATTATCATTTTTTTCTTTTTGTGCAAAGTAAACTTTGAGTCGTTACCTCATTAATCCAGACAAAAGTAGGCTACATTCACAGTGCAGGCAAAAGGGACCCAAATTTCTTTTATTTTTATTTATTTTTTTATGTGTGTCACTGTTTGGGAAAAAAATGCATGCGSTATGTATTTGTGTGAGTTTCCATTATGTATTTAATTAATTAAAATAGTTTAAAAATATTTCTGCATAACATCTTTCTATGTAAATATCTCATGGTATAATGTGGACAGCTTACAAACAAGTGAGTCCTATATATGTACATGTTTCCCCCTTTTTTAAACTTAGTGTGCAGCTTATAGCTGCGCTTAAAATCAAGAACATTATGGTAAATCAAACCAAAACGTCACACCTTGTTAGTGTAATGTGAATAAACATGCAAAAAAATATCGGATTTGTGCAAAATAATGGAGTTGAGTATTGAAGCTTGCAGTGTGAAAATAGTCTTGGACTTTGTTTTTCCAAATCAAGGCCATCTGAAGTCAAATACAGACGATAGAACCCCACGTTAAAAGACAAACCACAGAAATAATAGGATAAAAAAATAATAATAAACTTGACCTTCCTGAGACTTGAGAAGTAACTCCTCTCAGATGGCTTTTTGTYCCTGATCAGCTTGACCTGCTTGCTCTCACTATATAAAATAATGAGAAATTATATTTGACTTCAGTTGGAATCCCATTTTGTACGGTTTGTTTACTTTCTGATTCATCTGGTGACATTTGAACTGTGTTTGGTGAATGTAAAAATAGTTTCCATGAGCTTTTAGCCAAGATTCTTAGGTTTCTTTTGATACCAAACAAGTCCAGGTTCAACTGACAGATCTGAAGTTAAAAGAAGATAAAGGGATCCCCAATTAGCTGTAACATTAGACTTTATTTGACTGTAAAATAAAGACTGTAAAAATACTGTAGGATGTTGAGTTTTTATCATTTTTAAACTAAAAGTTTAAAAATATATTACACGGACGGGGCCATTTTTTTACACACAAAGGATTCTGGGTAAATGATGACATCAACTAGGTCATCGGCATGAGGCTGCTAGCGAGCTATATCCACCCTGAAGGTTAATCTTGGACAATATCTGATGATCGACTCTTTTAAATGAAACCAGAGAGCGTTGACAGAGAGGAGAAGGTAGAAATGACTCAGCCTGGAACTGAAAATATGGATGGAGGACAACAGAGCTGCTTCATGGAWGAAGAACCTCAGCTTAGCCTGTTAGCTTTAGCGTTAGCCCCAACGCTATCACCATATATATGTATTAGCTCAGCGCTACACATTCTCCTCTCGTCACTGAGGTCTTCCACATGACAGAGAGAGGAACACAAAAATGACTCAGCTGCAACTGAAAATATGGATGGAGGACCTCAGTTTAGCTTGTTTGTCGCGCTAGCACCGAGCTAATACATATAAGGCAATATAGCAAAAATAAATAAATGAATAAAACGCTGATGATGAAGAAGCTAAGATACCAATATTCAGATATTTAGGACTGCTTTCTACTGAAGTGGTAAAAAAACGGCAATATACCATGGGCGCTAACGCTAAAGCTAACAGGCTAAGCTGAGGTTCTTCTTCCATGAAGCAGCTCTGTTGTCCTCCATCTATATTTTCAGTTCCAGGCTGAGTCATTTCTACCTTCTCCTCTCTGTCAACGCTCTCTGGTTTCATTTAAAAGAGTCGATCATCAGATATTGTCCAAGATTAACCTTCAGGGTGGGTATAGCTCGCTAGCAGCCTCGCACCGATGAGTTGACGTCATCATTTACCCAGAATGCTTTGCGTGTAATTAAAATGGCTCCGTCCGTGTTATTTTAAAACATTTACAAAACTAAACATCCTACAGTATTTTTACAGTATTTATTTTACAGTTACAATATATGTTTATCAAATAAAGTTTAATGTTACAACTAATCGTGGATCCCTTTAAAAGAAATAGAAAACGGGAAAAAGCTGTTTATATATTGCACCGGGCTCAAGAGGTTACATAATGTTTAAACTAAGAAGGAGGACTTAAATGAGCACCTTCTCAGTGATGAAAAAAAAAAAACAACAACACAAAATTCACTTCTTTGACGGTCTGTAACCTTGACCTGTTTCTCCTCAAAGATCACCCCTTCTTTTGCTAAACTTCAATCAACTCGTCTCAAACCGACACAGGAAGTGCAGGAAATTCTTCTCCTTGAAATGGGTCCACAACCTTCCTTGCAGAATGAAGGCCGTGCCGCTGCAAATTTAGAGCGCTTATGTAGGCTACAGCACAGAAGGGGAAATAAAAATACCTGCACTTCATTGTAAATGGATCATGCATATGCTAATGTGAGGCAGAGACCGTGGTGTTTGGATACAAGCAGGAAAAAAAGTTGTTTCTGACAAACTTAACCTCACAGTTGGTGCTTATTAGTTAACAAGTCTGTTTATCCAAGACTTCTGGCATCCAGTCAAAAATGTGACGGGCAGATTTGGAGCTTTTTATCCAAACGTCTCCTCTATTTTCATTCAAGGCAGTAAATGAGGATTTCTTGATGAGTCCTAACTCCCGTGTTTGAAGCAAAATTTCCTCGACGGCACATCTGTCTGCTGTGCCAGATCTGCCTCTGCACTCATCTCATGAGAGAGGATGCTCCGGCCAGAAGACACTTCCTTTGTAAGACTTTGGATTAGAGTCGGGAAAAATCATATCRTGTGCAATTAATCGTCAGACAAAACTGTCACGGGTTAGGTTTTGGCACTTGGAGATTACTGTGATTTGTGACTTATAGAAGGGGCAAAATAAATAAATCAGATATGGGCCACATTTGCCTGTAGTGTGAATGTACACACAGACAAACACACACATCCTGCTGCTTTCTGCCGGTCTGCAGCGATTCCCGTAAGAAAACCTGAAACTGTCAATGAAACGTTTAGAGCTGCAAAAAGAGACGTCTCCCATTGCATCCACTCATCTTCATGCACGTGGGATGCATTCGGGGACCTGCTGGCTCCTCTTTGGGAAAGAGGTACACGCCCACTTGCCACAATTAAAGGATACCGTGACAGCAAGAACAAGACACCAGGGAATACGGAGAGAAAAGAAGAAAAAGAAAAAAAGGGTTAGGGATGAAGCTAGAGGAGGGAAAAGGAGGAGAAAACACAACGAGATGTTGACAGCGGAGTGGTGTGAGCGTGTCTGCTGAGWTTTATGCAAATGTCAAAATAAACAGGAAAGACGTGAGAGTGGTGAATACATGTTGGATGAAATGCAGCAGATCTCATTCTCAAAAAGTACAGGGGGAGAACTTATTGAATCACAAATGCATCCTTCTTTTTTATAGCTTTTAAATAAATGTGGTTGTGTCCTAACAGAACTGATTTTATTACAGCGGTGTGGCTCTAAGAGTTGGATTATTAGTCAGCTATATGCCCATCTTACTGTATATTCTGATATAAACCATTTAAGAAATGTGCAATTTTAAAAATTTTATTCAATTTGTTGTAGCTGACACATATTCTGAGCACCAAGTGATCGCACAAGATCTGTTTTAACTATTGACGTCAACTCTGTCCGGCTATTAGCAAAAAACCTTGGTACCACTTTCTTTTATGGTACCCTTATTACCATGTAATTACAAGGTAATAAAAGTAATTAAATGTAATTACTACTTTATTATCATGTAATTACGTGGTAATTAGGGTACAAAAGGAAAACTACGGTTAGTAAAACTACCTTTATTGGGTAACTACAATCAAATTACTATTCAATAGTAACTCAACACTATATTTATAACCAAAAAAATGCAACTAAATTTTAGGGTTAGTGGTTAGTTGCAATAAAATATAACTTTAAAACTGTCCAAATTACTTATTTAGGTGTTATATAGTAAATCAGTCAGTTTCACAGGTACTGAGGTAAAATTTGACATGGTGGTAGCAGCGAGTCTTTCACAACACAGTCTCTGAGAACAAAAACATTTCATATGATTTTATAATATTACACGAGTTCACACATTTATAAAGTTTGACCAACACAGCTAAAACTGCATCCCTTTATGTCATTGGTTTGAACAGCTAACCAAAAAGTTAGATCCACTAACCACTAATCTGTTAAACAAGCACAGTTGCCAACTCTTCAGTAAGAAAAGTAGCTACTGGCTGTCCTAAAATCCACTAGAAGTCATTATATGCCATCTTCACCTAATTTGCACATTTGGACGTTTGCCCATCGCTTTCCAGTTGAAGACTGGTGGGATCCCTTTCAGAATAAAAGCATTTCTAGACAAAGTTTAAATACTGTTTGAATTTAATCGTACAACCAATAACATACTTTCTCAACCTTATTCGTCGTCAGTTTTTGTATTTGCTATGTAAATATTGTTAAATGTTTATATTTTTTCATTTTGACACTCGTAGTTTGAAGTTTAGCCGCTAAAGGTGCTACATGCTACACACAGTGCCTGACACGACCAGCATTGCTTGGAAGAGGAGACAGTTTTTATTTAATTCAGGACAAATGGCATAAAAATTTAAGTTTGACACTGAATTTGTTTTAGTGGACTTAAAATGAGCAGAACTTAATTTAGTGGAACATAATAGCAAAAAAGCTAATTTGCTAATAGACCATTTCGTAGTCAGAACTTAACCACAAATGTGCATGAGCATAGCGAAGCTTAGCTTTTCTAGGTCACAGGTCAACTCTGACATGGAATATGGCTGGTGATAAGCAAGCGTTAAGTTTTGTGTATTAATAAACCCTGCCTACTCTGTGCTGCTGTATGGCTGCAGGTTGGAAGTGGACAACAAGTCCCTGGAGCGTCTTCTCTCAGGATCAGGCTGTGAGGTCCACTGCTTCGATCCCAGCCTGGAGCAACYCCACCTGCAGAGAGCCAACATGTGGTTCCATCGACTCTCTGTACACTGGAGGGATCCCAGCCCAGCTGTTGCCGGCAAACACCAGTACGCAAACACCAAGAARCTGGCCACCATCTTCAATGACTTCGGACACAGAGACGTAAGCAGTGAACAGACAGTAGTTATCAAAAGATTGTGACATTTTGTCACAGTTATACACAGTATTTATTGTTTAACTGCTGCCATAAAAGGCTGGAGATAATCTATCTGGCTGTTGGTTGGCAAAATATCTTATTAACCAAAGGATGGATTTTAATGAAACTTTTCAAAGGCAATCATTGTGTATAAAATTGCAAATAATCATCCTCTGGAGTTAGCCCAATTCAGGATGGGCTCCACAGCTAATCCAGTTTATAAAAGGCAAAAATAGCTATAATTCTGCAAACATTACAAATATTGACCAAACATTTGGCGTGGCAGTTGCTGAGAGTCATTCCCAACACACACTCAAAGTGCTAAAATATCACACAAGATCTGCAATCAAAACTTCTCCAGGAGTTGACCATGTTAGTAAAATACACTAGAGGAAGGATCCTAAAGAACACCTCAGAAAGCAGTCAGWGGATGTACAATATGTCTACAACTCATTCTCCTTTGCAGTGGAACTAAATCACGGCGGCCTCCGCAAACACAACTCTGTTAACTTTGCAGCTATAGAGGTAAAATCTGTTGGCACCACTGGGCAGAACCTGATACTGTTGTGTCTCTGGCTAAATGGCAAAATCAATTATCTGTTTTTTTTCCTTCTAAATGAGTTGTGACTTACTGCAGGGGGCTTTTATTTGGTGTCTCTGGTGCTCGCCGATGCTCCATGATTGAGACATTTTTGTTTGTTTTTTTTTAAAATCCCTTATAGATTAGAAAAATATATCCGTTAACCTTTCGGAGTAAATCAGTTTTCTGTTTGAGAGGCTGAGCCAACGCTTTGGTGAAGAAGAAGAAGCAATTCTTCTGCAGTCTCTCTGCTCGCTCCTCCGGCACACTGAGTACCCACATTAAAACCTCATTACGAGGACGCACGCTCAGTTCTGCATTCAAAACAGGTGAGCACTGACATCTATAACACAGAGCCGTGCACACACATGCACACGCACAGACAGCACAATGTTAAGTTTGTTTATATCATGTCACAACCAGAAACGATCTTTTCAAATACCTTGCATAAGCCAGCAGACTGTAGAAACTTAATCACATTTTGAATGAAAACAGGTGAAGGCAGGGGACGTGAGTACAGCTTGGCACGCATTCAGGAGTCTTGTTTGATTTATAATCTTTCAACTCGGGGAAACGGGATACAATTGTACTCTTGACTGGACATGCAGTACACAATTTCACTGTCATAAACCTAACAGCGATCTAAATGAAAACACACAAAACCATACGCTAAATATGGATGTGTGTGTCATGCAGGCACTTCAGCACCATTCTGAACCCCATTTTGGGCCTTTTTTTTTTAAATAATGAACCCTCAAGCTCAAGCTTTAGATGCTACCATGCTGAGGTTCGGCTGCTGATTTGCTCAAAGGTTTTTAGAGAACTCAGCTGCAAGTTGGCTGTACAATTTGTTAGGTGGTCACTGGATTACACTGTAGATGAAATCATCTGACATTTATTGTGTGAACAGGGCCGGCCCTAGACATTTGGGGGCCCTAAGCAAGATCTATTTTGGGGGCCCTACTTCACCATAAGTAGACAGATACGCAAAACGAAATGCTTTATGTAATTATAAACCCGGTGCAGAAAATTTGACCTCTAAGAACACAATGTACCGTAGTTTACTGAATGATGCTCAGTGTTGAAACTTTTAATATGAGAATTAACTTTGCTTTGACTACTCCAGATTTCCAAACCTAAAGTTTTAAAAATATACATACAATGCCAATTCAACAGAATAAAAAAAGATTAAAGTATGGGCAGGTCTGGCTTTAATAAAGCAAAAGAAAAAAAGTAAATAAAAAAGTTCTGTTATTAGTGAAAATGTGCATATTGTAAATACATTTCAGAAAAGCATCAAATCAGCAAATTTGTTTGTCAGCTAGGACTTGAACATGATTTCACACCAAAAGTCTTTCTTTGCGTAAATATTGTATATTTTACTGAAATTTGCTGAAAAAAAGTGACAGTGTGTTTTGCTGAATGCTCAGCATTAGTTAAAATATTTAAACAGAACAGCTAGATGAGCAAAAAATCACAAGAAGACATAAAAAGACTTAATGAAGCATGACGAAATTGAAAAATATATAGGATTAAGAAGATATAAAAGCACCAAAAAGACAGATATAAAAAAAATCCAAAGGGACCCAGAAGGAAGAAAAACATGGATGTATATGTAGATATACGTACAAAGACAAAAAAAAATGCACCAAGTGGACATGTAAGAAAAAAAGGCACATAAAGGAGACATAAAGACAAAAAGGAACAATAAAAAAGGATGAAATGTAAAAGTTAGAATTCACACCATTTGGCTGAAACAGGGTCAAATAATAACCAAAGATTATACAGGGAACTTCCCTTTAAGACAACATTTCAAGTCTGAAAATCCCATCAGAGTTAATTTTATATGACCTAAGAAAATGAGACATTGTTAAACCTTCAGGGCACATAAGTTACTCATACCTTTTAAGCTCATAAATGACCAAAATGTCAAAGTTTTACCGGTCTACATAAAACCTAAAGTCCTGAAGAAATGCATTCAGCTTTGAGCATGCATGAGTCTATTTACATAAATGTGACCTCAGGGTGTTATTAACATTCATAATATGAAGCAGTTCCTCCCTGTTCCATTACAACAAGCCTTGTCAGGCTGGGATTCCACTCAATCCATCATCGACGCTGCTGAAGCAGGAACCGAGGTCAGGCTTCACTTCCTCCTTTATGTCTTTTAATAACTTCTGTATTCAGAATCTCCATGTTGTTCAGGGTTATTCTGGTGCGACAACAAAAAAAATGACCAAAACACAACTTTCACAATGTTGTTCTTGCCTCTGTCTGTGCACAATATGTCTGATACCAAAAGATGTTGTGAACCATTGSGTGGACTTTAATGAAACTTTCAGAAAGTMATGACTGGATGTTTATTTATTAATTCAAAATGGCCACCACAGCTAATTAACCTGAGCTAACTTAGCTTATYTTTTGAAGTTTTAACAAAATGGCTACAACTCATGGCAGGAGGTAGGCAATATATCCCAGGGGTGTCAAACTCATTTATTTCCGAGGGCCACATGTCATTATGGTTGCTCAAAGGGGCCGTTGTAATAAACTTTGACTGAAATGTCATGTTCCTCGTTGCGTTGCTACAGCTGAGCACCGCTAACAAACAAAAACTGAGCTCTACATGGTATTTCCTGCAAAGAAACAGCATTCTAACACATCCTATAATATAATCACTGAAAAGTATTACRTGTACTATGTGAAATAAATACCACAAAAATACCTATAAATTAAAAATTAAGTTTTACGCACTGTTGAGTTGTGCTAAATAGCTGCCATCTTGATTTCTGAACTCTCCCTCTTTCTATCAAGGAATTCCCACCAAAAGGGACGTGCCAGTTTAAATTTACAACTTGTAAGTGGGAAATTCCCACTTCCACGTACAACTGGGCCACAGCAAAAGAAGGTGGCAAAAATGCATCTAAAAGGGCCACAGTTACTCTAAGCCAACAGCTCAGAGGAAGAACAATTATCTTTCACCTTTTAAATGTTTCTTTTGTGACATCGAGTCACAAATTAAAATTACAATTGATTCAAAATCTATTTTTATATTTAAGTTAAGCAAAGAAAAAAAAGTCGGGCCAGACGGAGGTCACCTGCAGGCCACATTTGGCCCGAGAGCCCTGAGTTTGACACATGTCCTACGGGGATTTTCTGAATAAAATGTGTTACTTTCTCGTTCTAGGTGGATGTCCTAAAATTCGACATGGAGAGCGCAGAGTGGAAGATTTTGGAGAACCTGGTCCTGGAAGGGGTCCTGGCTTCGGTGGGTCAGCTGCTGCTGGAGCTTCATCTGCACTGGGCGGGATTCGAGGTGGGAGGCGACGATCCGGCGGTGGTGCGGTACTGGTTTAGCCTGCTCAAAGAACTGGAGGGCGCCCACTTCCACCTGTTCCACGTTCACAGCGACCCGGCCAAACCTCGCCTGTTTCTGCACAAGAACGTCCTGAACGCAAGCAGCGCTTACAGACTGAGCTGGGTGAACACACGGTGGACGCCGACGAGGACAACAAATAAACACAGAAAGTAAATTTAAATACAGCGGGCAAAATAAGTATTGAACACGTCACCATTTTTCTCAGTAAATATATTACTAGAGGTGCTAATGACATGAAATTTTCACCAGATGTCGGTAACAACCCAAGTG